AGAAAAAATAATTTCAAATAATGAACAAAAGCTCTGAGAAAATGCGATTATGTAAACAGAACAAACTTACTACAGTACTCATTGTCCTTGTCCTGCTCTTGTTCCTTGTCCTGCATTCTTGAGAGAGAAGTAGAGAGAGTAAGCAAATTTGGAAAATATATATGCTATAATCTATGAAAATTTCCCTGATCTTGCAGAGGCTGACATGCAAATTTTCAACATTGATCTCTTAGATGTTCATCAAGAATTCCTTACTTTATAAGTGTTAGTGTTCCCTTTAATGCTAGTGAGTGATTCTGGAATATTCTATTGCTATCCTTCAACTTTTCTCTCTAATGTTGCCTCATTTGAGAAGCTTTTCATGGTCCCCATAGACTTAATTAGATGATCTCTCTCCAAGGTGTTTCCATCTCTCCAAGGTGTGGCCACAGAGCTTTGCTCGTACCTCTTCTTTGCCCTTTGGTAGTATTTTGCCTTAGTTTGATGAATATCTTCTACCTGACCCTGATTAAAATCTCTATATTTCTTTCCAGAACCTTAAAAGGAACTCAGAAAATATTTTTCTGGTCTATATTATTGATCTCAGGACTCTTGGCTGTGTTTGAAACTTCAGCCCTCATCTCTTGATGATGCAATGTTTGACTTTAGGAGAAGATGATGAGTTTCAGTCATGTGGTCCTCATTCACTCTAATCTATGTCCCTGTTCTAAGACTTTTATTTTCTTGGCCTCAGTTCCTGTTTATCTGTTCATCTCCTCTGTGTCTCTTTAACTGATCTTTTTGTTGCTCTTGTTTCCTGTCCTGCCTACTCTTTCCTTCTCCATTGGGTTTCTGGGCTGATGTTTTGCTACTTCATAATACTGGTCTCCTGCTGTTTCAAATTTAACATAGTATCGTTTGTCCTAAATTCACTGTTACTGAGGTTGGTTTCTCTTTCACAAAACATATTAGGGTTCACAATCTTGCTTCTACATGAAATAACATCTGCTATGTCATCTAATTCTTTTTAAAACTGAGTTAGCACCCTTAGAACATGTCCCTCCCAAATGGATGCTTGATTCAGGACACTGACTATTCCCAATGAACCCTGTGTTGTTCCCTTCCAATACAGCTTGTGTTGACCTCTGTCTTTTGGATAAAGAATTATTATTCTGAAGATGCATAGACCTGGCTGCATCCTGAACTATATATACTTTTATGCATTTGTTATTTTTTAACTTTTTCTCTTTAAAAAATTTTTAATATTAAAAAAATTTTGTGGATACATAATAGGTGTATATATTTATGGGGTACATGAAATGTTTTGATAGGGACATGCAATGTGAAATAAGCACATCATGGAGAATACGGTCTCAATTCCCTCAAGCATTCACCCTTTGAGTTACAAAAAATCCAATTACATTCTTTATTTACAAATACATAATTATTATTGGTTATAGTCACCCTGTTGTGCTATTAAATAGTAGGCCTTATTCAGTCTTTCTATTTTTTTGTACCCATTAACCATCCTCAACTTTCCCCCAAATCCCCACTACTCTTTCCAGGCTCTGGTAACCATCCTTGTACTCTCTGTGACCATGGATTTAATAGTTTTGACTTTTAGATTCCACAAATAAGTGAGAAACGTGATGTTTGTCTTTCTGTTGCTGGGTTATTTCACTTAACATAATAATCTCCAGTTCCCTCTATGTTGTTGCCAATGACAGGATCTCATTCTTTAGGGGTAAATAGTACTCTATGTGTGTATGCACCACATATTCTTTATCCATTTCTCTGTTGATGGGTACTTATGTTGCTTCCAAATCTTAGCTATTATAAACAGTGCTGCAACAAACATTAGGAGTGCAAACATTTCTTTGATATCCTGATTTTCTTCTGATTTTTCTGGGCCATCAAGCTGGGTGGTCCCAATGACACAGGGCAGGTGAGCCCCAAAGTGGGGCTCAGCCTGTGAGGGTTTTTGGCTTCTCCCAGGAAAAAATTCAAGGGCAAGTTGGTGGTACAGTAGAAGAAAATGGCTCTATTGAAGTGGCAGTATTACAGCTTTGGCAGTATTACAGCTCTGTGGCTGTTCTGGCAGAGCAGGGATATCCATAGGCAGTATACTGAGAGTAGCAGCTCAGGGCACTTTTGCGGTCACATTTATACCCCCCATTTATTTATTTATTTATTTTTTTAGATGAAGTCTTGCTCTATCTTCCAGGCTGGAGTTCAGTGGTATGATCTCAGCTCACTGCAAACTCCACCTCCTGGGTTAAAGTGATTCTCCTGCCTCAGCCTCCCAAGTAGCTAAGACTACAGGTGTGTGCCACCATACCTGGCTAATTTTTGCATTTTTAGTAGAGGCAGCATTTCACCATGTTGGCCAGGCTGGTCTCAAACTCCTGACCTCAGATGTTCTGCCTGCCTTGGCCTCCCAAAGTGCTGGAATTACAGGCATGAGCCACCATACCTTGCCCTATATCTACTTTTAATTAATATAGATTAAGGAGAAGTGTATGCAGGAATTTTTTGGGTAAGGGTAGTGACTTCTGGGTCATTGGGTCATTGCCATGGAAAGGAGTAATAACTCCCTGGTGTTGTCATGGCAATGGTAAACCAACATGGCACGCTAGTGGGCGTGTCTTATGGAAAGTGCTTCTGCCCCATCCCTGTTTTAGCTAGTCCTCAATTTAGTATGGTGTCTGAGCCCAGCTTCTGGCATTGAATCCTGCCTGCTACCTTGCCATTCCCCACGACAGGAAGCCTTTTGTTCCTCCTCACTTCAGGGCCTTGGCAAGGCACCCTGGAGTATGCTGTTCAAAATATTCCCTGCTGGGCTGTTCCCTTAGGCCCCAATATGAGGATGAGATCTTGTTAGAACTTTGTTTGAAGAGGAGGCAAAAGTACTAATTGGTGTCTAGGTGGTGGTAACTTTACCTTGGATCCCTACAGACAATGCTTGAAAAAATGTCCATTAAATACCTTGTTCTTGGGACCTGACTAACGGCTTAACTTCTCTTCCCCTGTAGGTCAATCAGTGCAGCTCTTTGGTAAGTAAAGGCTAAGGGTAGGCCCAAGGAAGAGAAATAAAATACAGGTGACATTCACATATTAACTTATCTGTAGCCTCCCTAGATCTGGACAATTTCACAGGCAGTCTGAGGCAGAATTACATGCTCTTCACAACACTAGGGAAAATCAGAAATACAGGGAGTGCTGTATACATTGTCAGAAGTTTATCTGGACCTTTGGTATTGTGTGAAACAGGAAAGATGGGATTGGGTTTATGGGAATTTTTCACTTCAAAGCAGGCAAATATCCTTCTAGTCCTGGGTCATCAGTAAGCTATTTGGAAGTCTGCTCCTTTTTGAAGTCTATGGGGTGAATCACAGGGAAACATTTTTGAAAGCAGCTAAGTCCTGAGCTCCTGATTCCTGGGCCCATTGCCTCCCTTTACCTAATTCTCTGATGGAGGGAGAGAAGCTGAGCTTACTCAGTCAAACTTTTCTTGAGGCACTAGGATATAATGAGGGATATTTTCTGGGTCCTGAGGGGATAGTTGGGACATCAGATGTAATTGTCTATTAGTTTTCTGAAGACAGAGGCTTAAGGATGGGCTGCTTGAAGATAATTTGAAGCAGATGCTCAAGTGATCAGAGTTGCATTTCTTGACACTTCCCATCCTCCTCCTAACACCACACCGTGGGGTTGCTGAAAGAAAGAATGTGTTATTGGGAAGAATGAAGGGAGAAACATGAGGGAGGATATAGTGTTTTTGACTGGTTGCTTTAGTTAACTACTATACATTATCTACCCATGGGATTCATCTATCTGGTCACCTTTGCCAAATCAATTCCATTATCTCTGAATTTAAAAAATGTCTCTTGTTCTTAACTAGACTGCTCATAGTGCACTATTTATTGCCTATAATTCAGTGAAAATATTATTAGTAATAATATTTTCAGCATTTGACAAAACATCTTCACATATTATATCTCCTTCATTTTTCACAATGATCTTGTGAGGCAGATTTTAGTTTATTCCTTTCACATGTGAAGAAACTAAGGCTTGAAAATGGTTAGATGCTTTGCTGAAGGTCACATGCAGACACATGGCAGAAATAGTACCTGAAACCAGGATCTTGACTTCTTGTATAGAGTTTATTCTATGACAAAAGAACTATCGGTCCATGTAGATTTCACATCTTCTGAACCTTCTCACCATCTGTTGCCATTACTGTCTCCTCAGCAGCTGTGGTGGAAGGTATGGGCAATAACCATATGTCCTCTTGGAGAGAAAAGCAAAATTTCCTTGGCTGTTTTAGACTTGTATTATTTCTTCTTTCTTAGACTATGTTCTGGGCTGACTTCTGCTCCTTTCCCTCACACTTAGAGGCCTCTTCTTGCTGTTATTAAGGCTGTAAGACCAGCCTGGCTGCATCTTTTATGCCTAGAATGTGTATCACTTGTCTCACATTCCAAGGCCCTCCCAGGCCCTGGACCCAGAAATTTTTGAGTCCTTTGTTTGTCTCTCACCAGAGAGGATTGTGGTACTTGAGGTATTGGGGATACTGGGGGATTCACGTGATCCCTAAATCATTCCTTGTCTGCCCTATTATTTGATCACTCTGTACTTCCTACCTTTGGCCATGGGGCCCTGGAGTTTCTTCCCTGGCTCTGCAATAGCCACTGCTAACACAGAGATAGGAGAATGGCTTCCTAGCTTGGAGGTCAATGTGTGGGCTGTGGTTTGATATTGTCACTACAGAGAGCTATGACCCTGGAAAATTCACCTTTTTCCAGACCTTAGTTTTCTAATAAATAAAATGAGTATATTGAACGTAAAGTATGGTAGGAACATGAATAATGTTGTATACTCTTAGTGCAATAAGCAGATAAGAGGAGCTGGAGGGCACATCTGCCAAGGTCTCTCCTGATCTCAGTAAGGTTGCTGTGGTATAGAATTTTTGGCTTTCACATTATCGTTATTACCAAGAGCTTTTGTTTTTAACAGGTCACCACAACGCTGAACTTCATGTCTATCCCTATACAACACCAGCTTGAAAAAGCAGCAAATACAGGAGGTGGTAAAGCAGACAACCAGTGAGATATCTGGTAGAGAAGCAAGTGAAGTGGGCAGGAATATCCAAGAAAGAGCCTGATCGGTGTCGGAGTTATCAGGTACCATATATTATTCTGTAAACTTGACAGTCAAATGAAGCTTGGAAGAGTGGGATACCTCTAAATTAAGGGATTTTTCAGATGTTAGATTTTTTTGGCAATTTTAGATGAGGCTTAGTGGGATAAGACTGGGGAACTACTTGAGGTCAGCATTGATTAAATCAAGCACCTAACTTCAGGACTTGGAGATATGAGCTCAGTGGGATGATTTTTATTCAACAACAAGCCTTGGGCATCTACTTAATGTGTATTGTTTATGTGTATTGCCCCAGGTCACACATATTGTAGAATATCTAGTAATAGAAACTGGTTTCTGAACTTCCTGTCTGATGCATTTGCCACTGGACAAATCTCACCCAAGGCATTTACCACTAACTTTCTTCTTTGGTGTTTGAAGGCCTTGCAGAAATATTGACTAAACTGAAAATGATTTTTGATTCTTTTCCGAGAACTGTAGAGGAGAGTGATGTGGTGGTGATAATGTCAGTGAGAGCATATGTCCTGAGCTCCCAACTGCTACATCACTGAATTTCACCAGCCTGCCTTTCTTTGCAATGTCACTTTGTTCTTCCGTGTGAGATGATAACCATGTTTTTTCCCAATGATTCTGTTCTCTTCCCACGTACTTTCTTCCTGGCTGGTATCCCAGAATTGAATGCTGCCCACATTTGGATTTCACTTCCCTTTTGCTTTATGTTTTTCCTGTCATTGACTGGGAATGGTGTCCTGCTTTTTCTCATCCGGACAGATCGCAGCCTTCACCAGTCCATGTTTCTTTTTCTTGCCATGCTCTCCTTTGTTGACTTGGTCCTCTCTCTCTCCATGCTGCCTAAGATGCTGGCCATTTTCTGGTTTGGTGCTACAGCCATCAGCTCCCATTCCTGTCTTTCCCAGATGTTCTTCATCCATGCATTTTCTGCCATGGAGTCAGGGGTGCTAGTGGCCATGGCCCTGGACCGCTTTGTGGCCATTTGTAACCCACTGCGTTACGCAACCATCCTTACACCTGTTGCTGTTGCCAAGATTGGAGGCCTGGTGGTATTGCGAGGGGTGGTATTGACCATCTCCTTTCCAAGCTTGGCCCATAGGCTGCCTTACTGTGGCTCACACACAATTGCCTATACCTACTGTGAGCATATGGCAGTGGTGAAGCTGGCCTGTGGGGCCACCACGGTGGACAACCTCTATGCCTTTGCTGTGGCAATCTTTCTTGGTGTGGGGGATGTGGCCTTTATTGCCTATTCTTATGGGCAGATTGTGAGGACTGTAATGCATTTTCCTTCACCTGAGGCACGTGCTAAAGCAGGCAGCACATGTACAGCCCATGTCTGTGTCATCCTCTTCTTCTATGGACCAGGCTTTCTTTCTGTGGTCATGCAGCGCTTTGGACCACCCACAGCCTCTGCTACCAAGGTCATCCTTGCCAATCTCTACTTGCTCTTTCCCCCGGCACTGGATCCCTTTGTCTATGGCATCAAGACCAAGCAGATCCAGGAGCGGCTGTTGACGATTCTGAACCCCAAGCGGATTGAGCCTGCCTCAGTATAATTATCATCAGCTGGACTTCAGGGGCAGGGTGGCTGTCCCTCACTGGGTGGAAGCCCCATAGCCCAGGTCGTTTACCTTGTGGAGAGGGTAAAAAGAAAGCAAGGAAAGTTATCTTAGGTGTTTGGAAGTTAGGAAATCCCTTCTGAGGTCTGTGGTATTTATATATTAGGATGGAAAACTAAGAAGGGCTGAGGTATCTCAATTGATCAATAAGCAAGAAATTTTTGTGATACCTTCTGAAAGTTTATGATTTATTTCTGTTGATAAGATAAATGCATCAGGTAATATGATGGATCTGAATTCAAGTGTCTTAGGAGATCAAAAAGAGATGAGCTGGACATATGAAAAAATGGGGCACCTCCCACCACTGCAGCTCTCACTCACAGCCAGCCCCTGGGAAGAGATGGGCCTCTCTACCACCTACTTAGCTTCAGAGAAAGAAGGGTGGCAAAGCATGGAGATAATTTTGAGTTCAAACTTATGAGAGAAATGCTTTAAAATATTCGTGCTCCATCTGACTAGAATTGCAGATTAAGCTTCCTCTCTATATTCCCAGTACTTTTTCATTCTGTTTTTGAGATGAATGGCCCTCTATGATACCTGTAGTTTTATTTCTTTATTTTTAGTCTCAGCTGCAAGACTTTGAGTTAATCATACTTGTAAGCTTATTACATACAATGATTATTGTTCTGATTCTTGTTCTGTTTATTTTCTGTCTTCATTTCTTACTCTCTTGTTCATTTCCTTCCTAGTTCCTACCTTTGGCACTCACTCTAATGTGTTTGTGGTATGTCCTTATGTATTTGTATATCCTTGAAATATATTAGTATTGTTTGAGTGTTATGTATTCCTCATATATATTAATGTTCTTTTTTATTTCCTCAAAGGTATATGGTCCCTCCAGCCTGTTTGTCCAGGCTCCTCCTGATAGAAATGCTTTTCCCTATCCTTATTCTTGCCATTTTTTTTTTTAACTTTTTTTCCTTTTTCTTTATTGGGTCAAACTCTGTTCAATATTCTTGCTGTTTCTACTCATCTTAAACCTCAGTTCAAACCTCATCTCCTTAGAAAATGTTCTTCTAATTACATTAAGTCATTTGTTTTCTGATCTCAGAGTACTGTGTGTTTCTTTTATTATACATCATAATTTATAATTATATATATTTATTGTTGCATATATAACCTCTGTCTGCATTCCTACTAGATAGTGATTTCTACTGTATTCTTAAAATAGTTCCTGGCATATAATATGCTGTCAATAAACGTGTGTTAATAAATAAGTCTCATTATTTTAAAGGGCCGTCTCACTAGTGTTTTTCTTCATTGGTCACATTAACATAGTATGTGCTTTTGAATAAATGATTACATATATTTTTTATGACAGTGGACATTCAATACATTTCTGTTGAAGAAATAATAAAAAAAAATTGCTGTAACAGTCACTACTAACACTATTTTCTTTACTGTCATCATCACTGCAAACATCACCTTAACTTAGTCTTTGCAAAAGTTGTAATTTCAAATGGCGATATTTTCGATGTTGGGAAAAGGCATTGGAGGGCATAATTACTGTTATAAGACAGAATCACTGTTATAAGGGCTTACAGGCCTCTAAGTACTCTGAGCAAACTAGCTCTGAATAATTATATCCTGAACATGTTGTATTAATGAGGAATCTTGATAACAAAGGCAGCTCCTGCGTGTTAAGCTCTCACTACATGGTACCTGGAGTCCTTGAAGTAAAAATTTTGCACATACACTTTTTCATTTAATGCCCATAAAATGCAAATGAAGCTGATGCTCTAATTATTCCTATTTTTATGTCTGATACAATATTATGCTTCCTACTAAGTGAGGGTCATTTATTTTCTCATATCTCTTCTATCTTTGGCGTCCTGGTGAGTTTAGTGTCTTTATTCTCAAATACAATTTTCAGTTCTTTCCTATAAAAACAGACAAACAAACAAATAAGCAAAGACTGGGGCTTCTTTGAGGTTCACGTCACTCACTCATATCTTCTGCCACGCCTGGTTACTGTTCTCTCCTCTACTCGCCTTCATTAAATGACGATATGGTCAAAATCTTCTCTGTTTTTTTTCCACCCATGATCCTGGTGAGAGACATCAGAATTTATGAGAATAATTCATTGAACATTCTGGCTTTTCATATTCTCAGTTTCTTTATTCCCAAAGATACCTACTTCATCTACGCATTCTCATGACACATCTTTGAACTTCTGTAGAGATCACTGAATTTTCTTCCCTGAACATCTCCTGCCATCATGCTTAGCCTTGTCGCCTCCATTTTTCTAGGATGTCATTTTGTTAATGAGATTTGATCATATCTCAATCCTCTGCTTAAAATCCTGCATGGATTTCCATGGCCCTTTAACATGGCGTAGAAGACCTAGTCTGCTTTGGTTCCTGCATATACTCCAGGCTCAGTCCTGCCTACTACAATCTCTAATTTTAAAAATTCTTTCAGGTCTTTGAAAATACCAGGGTCCCTTTTCTCCTGCTCGTGGTTTGTACACTCAGCCTATCTCCATACCGCCCTTCACTTTAACCAAGTCTTCTGGTCACTAACTTAAATTAGGGAGGGCTTTCCTGAACTCTCCACACTGGGGAGGTCCTTTTATTATATGCTTTTAAAACATAGTTTTAATATATAACACTTATTAACTGTTATTAATTCTATGATCATATACTTAACATATATCATCCCATGAGAACCATTTTATCATATCGTTTGTTTTTTCCAGCATCTAATAGAATACATGGAATTAGTGTATATTTGATATTTATTGAATAAATCAATAAATGGGGCTCCCCACAAGCTGTGAATGAGATTCTTGTTGACTGGATGCATGGAAGGACTGTGCACTGGAAGCATTGTTCCCAAGGAGAATGTGGCCACTGGCTGGAGTGGGAAGCTGCTTTAGTCAGAGATGGGACTAAGAGAAGGATCTAATTATGATGGGAAAATATGATAAGGAGGCCTCAGCCCATCTCATTGTGAACTTCCTTGGATGGACTGTTGGAGAAACCCTATTTGTCCCACATGTACCATGGCATTGGGATTGGGGCCCCTGGATTTGTCACAGTCCTATACAGGAGAAGCAAAGTGCTCAACTCACCTGTAGCAGGCAATATTTGTCTTCGGTTGGCTTCTTCAGAAACAGACTCTGAACAGAGATTTGCATGCAGGAAGTTTATTGTGGTGTATACATGGTAACAATGACTGTCATGGAGTGAGAGGAGTGAAATGGGCAGAAGAAATTAAACTATAATTGAGTTGTCTTAGGTACCTTGGCTAACCCAATGGGACCTCCTGAACTGAAATGACTCCTCAGTGTTGTTTAAGATGAAGAAAGGGGGTCAGGACTTTGTATTCTTATATCACCAGTCATTGGCTATGAGTTGCTTGGGGAAGGAAAAGTAACCTTGGGTGAGACTGCTCTCTTTGGCCAAAGAAGAGTGACTTAGTTATGAAATTCCAGAAGCCAACACTCCTAGCACCTGGAGGAATAGCACATTGAACCATGGCATTCACTAAAGAATTTCCTGGGGTCTAAGATTGCTCTGCGAGAATGAGAAGTCTGAGCTCACAGAGCAAGGTGAAAATTCCCAGCTCATTGCAGGATGTTTCCTAGCACCATCAGGAGGTACAGGCTTAGGGCTAATGACCAACACTGAACAGATGTGGGCCACCTGGTAAGGTGCAGGAGCCTCTCCCTGATCAGCCTCTCTGCCCAGTCACCCATCCCTGTGGGCTGTATCTTCAGCTCTGTGCCCCTCCAGTCAATCTAGGGGCTAATTTTGGCTTTGCCCATGTGTGTCTGTGAGTCCTCTGGGACCTGCAGGATGGTAATAACATCCTGCCTGCCCAGTGCCTTGCTCACAGTCACCATTGCTGCCTTGGGAAAGCATCAAGAATGACCGTTCCTTTTGGGGTGATGATGATAGAACCAGCAACCCCTGGTGCACAGGAATTCAGGTGTGAAAAATGAGGTCAGTTTGGGGGCTTATAGTTGGGGAAAAACTGTAGCCAGCTGACTTCTGCCCTTTTCATAGCCCTTGTGACAGGGGTTATTTTTTGTCTTGGCTAGTGTGGCTCTGAGTCTCCCAATACCTTTGGTCTGACTCTTCTTCATAGTCTTAAGTTTATTTCCCCCGAGATAGAGTAGTTGTTCTCTCCAGGCCTGACTTCTCAAAATGAAGCCTCTCCTCCTAGTTTCTTCGATTCAGACACTAGCAGGCACGGAGGCTCTTCTATGAAATGTGACCTATTTCTCTATCCTTAACCTCCTTCTTAACAGTGGCCTGGACTCTATGACAGTGGGGAAAACAGAAAGATGAGGAAGAATACAGACGGAGAGAGATTAGGGGAGAGCTCATTGCTGCAAGTTAACTTGTGTGCCTACAGATGCCTACCAATATCTTTAAGGCTTCATGATCAGGCTGAGGCATTGACAGGACCATTTAGCATGGTCCTAGGTGGCATCTTCACCATCACATACCATGCATGTAGATACAGTTGATTTGCCTCCTTTACCCAAGTCTTGCCAGAAGTAGTACACATGTTTCATATCTTTGGGAAAGTTTAGCTGTACAGACCTCTAGGGATGATGTATTTGATGTTCTCTGGCATTTAGAGACAGCAATGCAGCACTTCTGAATAGAACGTCCTCTTCATCGTTGTTACACACAAGTTAGGGCAGAAGGCCATTGTGGGGATTGAACAGGGAACTCAGGGTGCTCTTGGAGATGAGCAGGGAGGGCTGTAGTGGAACCTTCCCAAGTCTAGGAATTTTCTCCCTTTCCTAAGTCTCTCTGTGTTGCTGAGTCTCCCTCTAGACTGACCCAAGACTTTAATTAATTAATTAATTAATTAATTAATTTTTTTGAGATGGAGTCTCATTTTGTTGCTAGGCTGGAGTACAGTGGCACAATCTTGGCTCACTGCAACCTCTGCCTCCTGGCTTCAAGCGATTCTCCTGCCTCACCCTCCCAAGTAATTGGGACTACAGGTGCGTGCCACCATGCCCAACTAATTTTTGTATTTTAGTAGAGGGCTTTCACCATGTTGGCCATGGTGGTCTTGATCTCTTGACCTTGTGATCTACCTGCCTTGGCCTCCCAAAGTGTTGTGATTACAGGCGTGAGCCACCGTGCCCAGCTGGGCTGACCCAAGACTTTAAAGGGCACATCCTTAAAGAGAGTCCAGAGACCGGGAGGACAGTGCCCTGTACCAGGCTTACTTTATTGATTATGTGTCTCAGATTTGTGCAGTGGAGTTCTGCCTCTTACTGCTTGATTTCTGTATCTTCCTCTCTTATTAGGTCATTATCATGAACCCACTATTTCTGTGTCTTCCCCTACTCTTTTTCTGCCTATGTTCTTGCCTCCTTTTTTCCCGACTATCAGAAAGTCCAGGCCACTGCTGAGAAGGAGATTAAAGACAGAGAGAGACAAGTCACATCCCACAGAGGCCTCCCTGCCTGCTAGGAGTAGAAGAAGTGCCTACCAGTGACCACAGGAATCCCTTTATTTCTGACACACTTAGGATTTCTTTATCACTTCTTTGCATGCAGGATAGTGATGATTCAGCAGGGATCTTTCTTCCATGAAGCACTCAGAGCATCACTTAAAGTGAGGACTATTGACACTCAATCAATAATCCCCAGATGGCAACACCAGTGTCTGCTACGTTATTCCTTAAATTCAGTCTCTGCCTTATCAAGTTTTCATGATTTCCAGTCTTTTAAGACATTTATTTATTATTTAATTGAATCATATGGATGTTTATTCTGCCAACATTACTGATTACTGACTGCATTTTAGGTGTTTCTAGAGCTTGCCCTAGGGCTGCTGCGGTAAGCAAAGCGTAGTCCCTGCTTTCTAAAGTGCAAGATCATCAACGTAATGACAAAGCAATAAAGACATTACAAAAGGAAAGAAAAGGAGACACGTTATGCTGTCTTACAGAATTCAAGCACAACTTCACAGAAGATAGCTTGCTTAGATTGAATTTAGATGAATAAATACTAGTTCAACAGCATCAGCTCTTTGCTCAATTGTCCCCTGCTTTCTGGTTAGAGAACTAAAT